CGGATGAGAGTCTCGCGAAATCATTTCGCTGAAAGGCTAATATTACTGGTGGTGCGACTCGACTGTATCAAAGGCGATTCGTTCCCATTCATCGGGCAAACCGCGCGCCGCGCGAGCGGCGACAGAGTCGGTCCGTCGCTTTCTCTCTCTGTCGCACCTATACGGGACGCACCGTGAGTGAGAGAGTGAGAGAGTGAGAGAGAGAGAGAGAGAGAGAGAGAGAGAGAGAGAGAGAGAGAGAGGGAGAGAGTGAGAGAGAGAGTGAGAGTGAGAGAGAGAGTGAGAATGAGAGAGAGAGAGAGAGAGAGAGAGAGAGAGAGAGAGAGAGAGAGTGAGAGAGAGAGTGAGAGTGAGAGTGAGAGTGAGAGAGAGAGAGAGAGAGAGAGAGAGAGAGAGAGAGAGAGAGAGGGACGAAAACGACTCTCGGAAGCACTCTGCAGCGTGGAGCAGTGCGCACGCCGCCCGGTGGCGGTGCTGGCCGTGCTGGAGATGGGGGAAGCGTCCCAAAGTCGGAACCATATCGCCGACCCGCTCACAAAACTTGTGCCGCTTTTTATTCGGGCCGGTTGCACCGTTTTGCGGCCATTGCACTGAAAAACCAAACGTGGTCTAGACCGCATCATTGGTGTGGTCAAATGGATGCCATTTTGACCGCATCAGTTGGTGTGGTCTAGACCACGTTTGGCCACGTTTGGTGTGGTCTAGACCACGTTTGGCCACGTTTGGTGTGGTCTAGACCACGTTTGGCCACGTTTGGTGTGGTCTAGACCACACCAAACGCCCCAAACGTGGTCTAGACCACACCAACTGATGCGGTCAAAATGGCATCCATTTGACCACACCAGTTGGTGCGGTCTAGACCACGTTTGGTTTTTCAGTGTGCGTTCTGGTTTCGTGGGTCGGGCGATCGGATTCACCTGCCGCACCGTGGCACGCCGTGGCACGCCGTGCTCCCTCACACCAACAAGCGGCACGCGAGTTTCAGCCACACCGCCACCGCCGCCCGGACGACCCGGACATGGGGCTATTTTTAAAGTACCACCCAAACGACCGACATGATGCAACCACACACACACAGACACACACACAACAACATGCGCACCGTATCTCCGCCACCACACACACACACACACACACACACACACACACACACACACACACACACACACACACACACACACACACACACACACACACACACCGTTTATGAATCACGGCCACACGCTACACACCTCGGCTCGCATAAGAATACACATGCACGGCGCGCGGAGGGGAAAAAAGGAAAAAATCATTATAAGTTATGGAATTTATAAAGCCGGTACGCCACCACCCCCGCCAGGCCGCCGCACTGGTGGAGTCCAGGCTGGTAGTCCAGGCTGGACCGCGCTGGAATGGTGACTATAAATCCCAACGGGCCGCGTCGCCTGGGCGCGAACCGTGGAACCGTGGAAGCGGCCGTCGCCTCCTCCACGCGTGATTATTCAAAGGCCCCGTTCGCCCCCGACCATTTTTCCGCGAGGGAAGTCCCTCTCTTTTTTTCTGGCGCTCCCTCGAGCTTTGGCGCTATCCGCGGCCGGGCCGCCGGGCCGCCCGGCCGGTCCAGATGGATGGGGCCACAGAGATTCAAATTGACACGGGATGATATTTATCCAACAAAGGGTGCCAAGAGTGAGTAGGGTCCCAAAACGTGCCGTATCGCGACGGCAAAGTTTCACACCCCCCGGCCTCGCGGCACGGCGGCAGGGCGGCGCGGCGGCAACGCGGCCCAGGCGAAGGGAGGCCGCGAACGCCACGGCCGTCCCTCGTGCCAAATTTGGTCCGTCAAATTTAAGTTGGCAGCCCCGGCCGGCCGCCCGGCCGCCTTGCCGGGTGTAATGCCCTTTCAATGGGCAGAGCCAGGGCCTGGCCAGGGCCGTCCCGCAGCCGGCAGCGCTGCCTCGCCCTGCCTCGCCCTGCCTCGCCCTGCCTCGCCCTGCCTCGCCCTGCCTCGCCCTGCCTCGCCCTGCCTCGCCCTGCCTCGCCCTGCCTCGCCCTGCCTCGCCCTGCCTCGCCCTGCCTCGCCCTGCCTCGCCCTGCCTCACCCTGCCTCGCCCTGCCTCGCCCTGCCTCGCCCTGCCTCGCCCTGCCTCGCCCTGCCTCGCCCTGACTCGCCCTGCCTCGCCCTGCCTCGCCCTGCCTCGCCCTGCCCCCGGCAACCCAAGGCAGGCCCTGGCCCCCACCCCCACAGTGACTTCCGGTTCTGTTCCGATCCGTCGGGGCTCGGCTGGGTGGCCGCCGCCGCTGGCTGGCTGGCTGGCGGGAAGAATATTTGACCTTATTCCTGCTGGAGTCTGGCAGCCCGGCTCCGGGCGGCCGGCCAAGGCGGCCAGGCAGGGCAGCCAGCCTCCAGCCTTCGCCCTTATCGCCCGGCCCGGCCGCTTGAGGGAAGTCCGGCGACCCATCGACACACTGGTCAGGCCTCGGATCTCATCGGATGCGATCGAATCGGCGGGCAGCCGTACGAGGCAAGCCAGGCCAGCCAGCCCGGCCAGCCCTCCGCCCCGCTGGCCTCCACACCATTGCTCGTCCGGCGCCAAAACGGGGAGGGGCAGGGGGAGGGGGAAGGGGTTGTTTGAAATAGACGTCCAAGGATTTCCTGGGTCGCCGTGGCCGCCGTGGCGCAAAGACCAGGCAAAGACCGCACGAAACAAACACGGCCCGATCTATTCGTCTGTTCCTCCACTCGGCTCCACTCGGCTCCACGCCTCTCGCTCTGTACACAGTTTTTACCCCGGCCATATTTGACGAGGCACGCCGCGCGCCGCGCCGCCCGTATTTGCCACCAGAGTGCGCGCGAGGCTGCCGGAGCCGCCCGCGGGGTGAGTGAGCGACCGAGAGAGAGAGAGAGAGAGAGAGAGAGAGAGAGAGAGAGAGAGAGAGAGAGAGAGAGAGAGAGAGAGGGAGAGAGAGAGAGAGAGAGAGAGAGAGAGGGAGGGAGAGAGAGAGAGAGAGAGAGAGAGGGAGAGAGAGACGGCCGAGAGGGAAGTCCATTAATAAATGGAATGCAAGGTCGTCGTGCAAACACCCACCCGCCACGGCTTATCGCTCATTGTGATTGATTCCCCGACAGCCATTGATTACACGACATCCGCCTGGCGCTATCTGCCCGCAGGGCCCGCAGGGCATGCACGCCTCGAGTGCGTTGCAGGTATAGGGATCCTTGGCGACAGCGCCGTCAATCCGTGACCTGTGTTTGTACCCCCTCTCTCTCTCTCTCTCTCTCTCTCTCTCTCTCTCTCTCTCTCTCTCTCTCTCTCTCTCTCTCTCTCTCTCTCTCTCTCTCTCTCTCTCTCTCTCTCTCTCTCTCTCTCTCTCTCTCTCTCTCGTGTGTGTGTGTGTGTGCAGTCTTTGCCATTCATGCTAACACGACTCAGCGCACACATCACCCCGCCGGCGGGGCTCTGCCGGCCTGTGCGTCACAAGCAGTTCAGACTCTCCCCCTTCCCCTTTTTCCCCCCGCCCCTCTTTTTGCCGGCGGCGTCTACACTCGCAAAACTCGGCGCGCGCGCGCGCGCAACGTCAAACAGCAAAAACCATCAGTATCAGCCCTAAACCCGACGTCCTCGACGCCCCCCTCTAGGCCACGGCCACGCAGCGAGAGGCTGTCTGGCGGCAACGAAGCTACTTCCTCGAGCCCCGCGCCGCCCCCAGCCGCCCCCAGCCGCCCCCAGCCGCCCCCAGCCGCCCCCAGCCGCCCCCAGCCGCCCCCAGCCGCCCCCCGCTGCCGCCCCCCGCGCGCCTCCCACACAACATCAGCCCTTCTGCCGTGCTCCAAGAAAAATATTTTACGAACAGAAACGGGCCGAAGCCGAAACGAGAGGTGGGAGAGGGCGAAAACAAAGCGGGTACAGGCGGCGGCTCACTGGGTCAGAAATACAGAGATACAGTACAGTATGGTCCATTCAGTGAATCCTGTCCTCGCGGCGACCCTTTGCTATGCAGGCCTTTTCTTGGTGCCATCATGAGTGTGGCAAACAGCCTCGAAACAACGAGCAAAACAAAAGATCGAACCCTTATAACGCACCGGAACAGCACTCGGACAATGAGGCCCCCAGTGGGGCTGTGGCTGTTTAACTTTCCTTTGAGGGCGGCGAGGACAGGGTTCACTGAATGTACCATATTCGTTTTACTGTTTCACTAGCGAGCGGGCAAGCAGGGAGATGGGGGGGGAGGGGGCATCGTCCTTGAAGCAGGATGTGTACCAGTGTACCGCCCTCCGCGTTGCCGCGCTGTTTTCGGACGGCCACGCTACACGAGGCTGGTACCCCCTTCCCCCCCCCTACACACACACAAACATACGCGCACACACACACACACACACACACACACACACACACACACACACACAGGGCACAACGATGAATTCCGTCAATCAATCATTCAATTTGTGCACTCATCCGATCGAGTCCGTTCAACCCCCCTCATAATTCATGTACGGCATACGTGGAACCGGACACTGCAATTCACTGATCACGACCGCTCATTCATTCATTCATTCATTCATTCATTCATTCATTTATTTATTCATTCATTCATTCATTCATTCATTCATTCATCGCTCATAATTGGGCAGCGGGCGAGCAGAGGACGCTCAATGCGGGTCGGAAGGAAGCAAAAAGGGGAGTGAAACGAGTGAATGCGAGCAATCAACACGCCATCTATCGGCCGATTCCATAACCAGCCCTCTCCAATTACTGTCCAAAACGACGAGTTGTAAGTTTACGCCGGCGGCCGGCCAGCCCCGCGCCGGAGTCCAAATGCAATTTTCACCGGCACTAAACACGGGGACTCACGCAGACACGCATCACGCCAACGCACGCAGTAGCCGCGCACGCACGCACGCACGCACGCACGCACGCACACACACACACGCACGCACACACACGTACAAGACACCGGCAGTGACAGCCACACCGGCGGGCTGACACGCACTCACACAGAGGCACACACTGCTCACGTACCTGTTGCCAATGTTCCTCGAGCGACGGCTGCGCCGAGAAGTATCCAGTGTCGTGGATGTCCTGCAGCTCGCGGAAAATGTTGAGACTCGGCAGTATATCCATGGTGGAAGCCGAACGTTCACAACGATGCACTTGTTTACAAAATCACTTTCTTCCCCTCGAGAGAGAAGCGTTCACTCTTTCCTCTTTCCTCTCCTTATTATTTTTCACTCACTACACAATGCACTCCACTGCTGTTGATAATCACTCGCGACCGCGGCACTGACACAGCTGACGCACACGCACTTCCGGTGTTCCAGAACGGTTCCTTATGTACGCTGCTTTTCGTGGCTGGGGCCGCTGGGGCCTCGGGGGCCGCGGGGGCCTCGGCGTGCGGCGGGGAACAGCATCCACGGGCCCACGCCGGCACCGTGCGGACACATGGGGAATGACCAGGACACACACACGGACACGCACGAGACGCGGGTCGCAAGTGACACACACACACTCACACAGACACACAGAGTGACACACGCACACGCGCGCACAGGGGCGAGTGCAGGGAAGCCCACGGACGCTGAGAAGCGCGCGGTGCGGCGCAGTGCGGCGCGGTGCGGCGCGGTGCGGCTGGGTTCGAACGGCACGGGGCGACACAGACCCTCCCTCGCAGCCGGCTCGCAGCACACTGCCGGCACACTGCAGGCCCGAGCGGGCCCGGCCGGCCGGCAGCGAACGCCCAACGCCCCCTTCCCGCGCGCTCGCTCGGACCCGGGCGGCGCGCGTCCGGCCCTCTCTCTCGCTCTCGCCCGCCCCCTCCCCCTTCACCTCCCCCTTCACCTCCCCCTGCCCGCCCCGCACTCCGGCCGCGCTGCCTCGCCGCCGCGCTCCGGCCGCCGCCATGCCCCGCCCGAGCTTCGGGCGCGCGCCGCCAGGGCGCGCCACTCCGTGGGTGGTCGAAGGAAGGGGCGCTAGTGCACTAGCTCGCTCGGCGCTCGTCCGTCCCGTCCGGGTCGGTGGCGTTTGAACCGCGCGACGTCGGAGGCGTGGACTGTGGACACCAACGGACACCGGCGGGTGCCGGCGTGGAGTGGAGAGCGCCTACACTGGGAGTGGGTCCACGCCAGATGGCCGTTTCGGCTGTTTCCGCGGTGCGCGCGGGAAGCCGGGGAAAGGGTAAAAGAAGGCAAAGCGACAGTTCTAACGGCGCGGCTCCCCGGTGGCTGAGTGGCCTGAGTGGACAGCGGGCATCCAGGAAAAACGTAAACAAACGTCCACGCTTCATTCTCGGAGTGCGTGTCGTTCGCAGGCGTGCCGTGGCGCGTCAAACAGATGAAACACGTGAACGCGGTTGGTAGGACTGGGCGGCGCCGCGGGCCAACCGGGGCGGGCTACCCGCCACACACCCTGGTCCCTGGTGGGAGGGGAGGGGGAGGGAAGAGGACAAGGCGAGGAAAGTTGGCGACTTGCTTGCGCCTTTCGCGCACTTTTCCCATCGGCGTGGGCGCGGTGCGGCGCGCGGTGTGGGGGAATGCCCAGCTGCAGACTGATTCCGAGAGTCGTTTCCGTCGCTCTGTCTCTCTCGCACTGGCGGAACGTTCCGTGTGTGAGAGAGAGACAGAAAGCGCCTTTCGGAATCGGTCCGCTGTCGGCGCGGACGCCGTCCCTGGCAGACGCACTTTGCCGCCACTCGGAGGGACAAAACAGGTGTCACTCCCAGCGCGGGCCGCTGCAGACTGATTCCGAAATTCGTTTTCGCCTGTCTCTCTCGCACTCATTGGGCGTCCCGTACAGGTGCGAGAGAGACGGAGCGACGAAAACGACTTTCGGAATCAGTCGACGGGGACGGCGGGGTGGCAGGCGGCGGGGCCGAATCAGCCGGAGGGAGCGTCCTTCGCTACACTCGCCACAGTGCACCTGCTGTGCTTGCAGGTCTCGCAGCACGCTCATTCCGAAAGTCGCTCTGTCTCCCTCGCACCCACACGCGACAACGTGTGCGAGAGGGACAGCGCGGCGGCGGCGTGCCGAGCGGCAGGTGGCCGCGAGCGCGACGCGGGCGTGGAAGGGCGCTGCCGCCGCCGCCGCCATTTTCAGCCAACAGGCGCGTCAGCAGCGTCGCTGAAACGGGAGTCCGCGCGACGTGTTCGGCGTGCTGTGCCTGGCTGTGACTTGCGTCGCCCTGCGTCCGCCGCACAGTGGGCAAGAAGCCGGTGGAGGCGGCCAAAACTCTAGACGCGTTTCGAGCTCCAGAGTCGCTAAATGGGACTCGAACCGAACGTGTGACCCCACCAATGGATTCCTCGTTCGGACAGCAATCCATTGGTGGGGTCACACGTTCGGTTCGAGTCCCATTTAGCGACTCTGGAGCTCAAAACGCGTCTAGAGTTTTGGCCGCCTCCACCGGCTTCTGGCCCACTGTGCGCCGGCCTGCCTGCCTTGACCTCACTGTCCGAGAGTCGTTTTCGTCGCCCTGTCTCTCTCGCACTCAGCGAGCACCCTAAGAGAGCGAGAGAGACAGAGCGACGCAAACGACGCTCGGAATCAGTCCGGCCGCCTCGGCGACGTGCCTCGCGCAGTGCGCCGGCCGGGCTGACGCGGCCTGACGCGGCCTGACGTGCCCTGGGCTTTGGCCACGTCGCGGAGAGCACGGAGAGCTTCTGAATAAAGATGCTTACGCCTGATATTTCCCCAGACGGCACGGCAGCGGCGGGCACGTCGGCACAGCCATGGCACGGCCGTGGCAGCGCGGCTCGGGGCGGTGCGCGCGGCAAGCACGACGCGGCAGGACGGTGTGAGGGGTGTGAGGGGTGCAGCCTCGCGGGAACGAGCCCCGGGACGTCCTGGGACGTTCTGGGACGTCCTGGGACCGGCAGGACCGCCGCCGGTCCGGGACCTCCGCGCTCCGCGCCGCCGCGGCCTCCGCGTGTCGCCTCGTGTTTCCGTACTTGCGCGTGCGTGGCGTGCGTGCGCCTTGCGCCCTCCCAGTCCGAGACCCTCGACTTCCCGCACACGGCAAGACGCCGCTATCGGTCTAGACGAGCCGCGCCCGGCCAGACACTCCAGGCACTCCAGGGGCTCCAGCGAGGCAAGTCAGGCAGAGCGGCGCACCTCGCCAAGTGAAACACGTGCGGCGTCGTGTAACTTGTTCCAATACTTCGCCGGCATCAAGGCATTCCATCTTGTTCGCATAACTTCGCAGACAATCGGGAGGGGAAGCGCAGCAGCGCCGCGCGCGACGCGCGTCAACCTTGCGCCAGCCTCTGTCTCTCTGTCTCTCTCGCACTCGCGGGACGACCGGGACGCCGTCCCAGAGGGGCAGGCAGTGTTCGGAATCAGTCTGCAGCCCGCCTTGGCCCCGCCCGCATAAATTTGCCGATCGAAGAAGAGTCAATTGAAGAGTGGCGCGGCGAAGGCGATGGCGGCGTAGGTGTGGGAGCGCGGGGACGGCACGGGGACGCCGCCGCGGCCCTCTGTTCCGACCCAATGAACCATGCAGCCAATCCGCACCCTCTCTTATTCCCTTCGCTTTAGTTTTGTGGCGAAGAGAGGAAGCGGGGGGGGGGGGGCGTCGAACCGCCGCCGTCGAACCGCGCTGGGGCTGGACGAGAAGTACGAGCTCCAGTCGGAGACGGCATCAATAGAGTCGCCGGCTTGCAACCTCCGCGTCGAACGCACCAGGCCGGCCGCCAAGCCGGACGCACGGACGGTCCCAGGGCTCCACCAGGCTCGAGGGGGAGGGGAGGGGCACGGGGTTAAGTGTCCACATGACGGAGTGACCCATCGTCTACCAGCAGAAAGGCGCAATTAAGGCCCGCCGTGACGCGCGACGCCCGCTGGGCCGCTGGGCCTTTGGGCTGGGATGCCTTTGGGCCTGTGGGCCTTTCGGCCAGCCTTGCCGGCCGAGAGGTCCACTCGCCCTCTGCCATTTTTTTCGGGCTTATCACATCCTTTTGTCCATGGCAATTTGCGAGCCACGGGGAGGCCGTCCACATGGCAGGCTGAGGACGCCGAGGACGCCGAGAGGAGGCCCATGGCTCACTCACGCTCCCTCCTCCAGGGATTACCCTAAAGCCCCCGGGCTGCCAAACCCTCGGCTAAACTCCCACCACTGCCCCAGTCGCCCCAGTCGGGCAAGTCGGGCTGGCCGGGAGAGCCGGGCCCACGGCCTACTTGCGCGCGCGTCGCCACCAAGACGTCGCCTTTGATCAGCCAGTCACCGAGTCAGTCCGGGGCGGACGGAATCCGCCAAATATTTGCAAATGCCTGCTGTGCCTGCTGCAGGCTCGTTCCGAGCAGGCCTCACTGCCTCACTCACACTCATCGCGGTGTTCCGTAAGGGTGCGAGAGAGACGGATCGACGCAAACACCGAGTGGAATCAAACTGCTACGGAGCCTGCTATGCCATAATGCCGGGGGACGCCAGAGCGTGTTGGGACGGGTGGTCCTGGCCGACGTTCCGGACTGCATCGGGTCCTCCAGGAGCACGGCGCCGAGGTGCATCAAACGCACGACGGCGCCGAGGTCCAAGCCCGGCTCCACACGCTGGCTTGGCGGCTCCACTACACTCTCCTCCAGGTTATTGCCCTTCTATTGACCCTCTGCAGCCACGCCGCGCTACGCCGCGCTGCTACGCCCCGCCACGCCGCCGCGGCCTTCCCTGGGTGAATGGGTCGCCGGGTCAGTGCCGCCCAGGCGAGCGCCCAGCGCGCCCAGCGTGGGCCTACCTTCTCTCTCATCCTTTTCTTCTCCTCTTTTTGTTGGTGTCCCCTCCGACCTCTTTCCCCCTCTCTCCTCATTTTTGTTATTTTTTTCGTCTTCTCTTTCTTCTTCTTCTTCTCTCCCGGCTATAAAATCGTTGGAGGCACGAAGTGCATCGTCCCGCCGGTTCGGTCGGACGGTGCGTACGAGATGCGTGCCTACACACACGTGTGCGCACACACACACACACACACGCACGCACGCACGAACGCGCAGGGCATACACACCTGAGGCCCAGCTCGGCAACCACGCCTCTGCGGCCCCCCTCGGCCCTTCGGTCCTCCGGCCCTTCCCCCTCCCTGCCCCTCCGGCGGGAAAAAGAGTACAACGTCATAAATCTGAATGTATTCAATTTATACACACGACTGCAACGCTTGGCTCTAATGCTGCCACCCACTACATAATGCTACTATCTCTCTCGTAATGCTGCCATGAGTGAGTGTCCCCTATTAACGGCCCCGCCCGGCCCCGCCGCCCCGCCGCCCCGCCGCCCGCGTGCGTGGACGGCGTGGACCCGGGAGGCCGGGCGGACGCGGCGAGCGCGAGAGAGAGGGGAGTCGTTGCCGCCCACGGGTATGTGTCGTGCTGCTGTCGTGTCCAGGGCCCCGGCCTGAGCCTGAGTAGGGCCGCGAGCCCGGCCGGCCCGCCGCACCAGTGTCCTGGACAGGGGCGTGGCGAGGCGCGGCGCGGCGTGGCGCGCCAGCTACTTACTTTGCTATCGCTGCGTCGCCCCGCGATGCGGGGGCAGGCCCACTACTTCCTAGAGCTCTTAAAAACCCGGACCGCGGGTACCCGGGTCGCCCGGGTAAGACCCGGGTTTGCGGGTAGACCCGGGTACCCGGGTTTGCGGGTAAACCCGTGGACCCGGGTCCCGG